AGACGGGTCTCGACCCGAAACATCAGCTTTCCTGCTCCTCTGATGCTGCTTGGCCTGCTGTGTTCATCCAGTTCTACACCGTGTTATCTCAGATTCTCCAGCATCGGCAGTTCCTACTATCTTAGGTAATTATGTTCTCACTGGGTGTTGAGAACATTGGAATTCTTCCTGAAAAGGCAGTGGAAGCTGAATGTTTGAATATTTTTAAGGCAGAGGTGGGTGAAAGAGGGTGAAGGGTTGTCAGGCATTAGTGGGAATGCAGATTTGCAGTTACAATTAGATCAAATGGAGCCAGCTTCAGGGGCTACTCCTGCTCCTCATTCCTATGTACATAAAAGCAAGTTGTTATTGAGGCAGGTATTTGTTGGAGAGACTTGGCTGGACCTCAGCCCAAAGCCTGTCACTTACCAAAAAATAGTCACGGAAAAACTCAGGCAACTCCATGCTGATGATGTCATCATCCAGAGGCAACAGGTAAAAGGCCCACTCATCAAAGGTTACGTCTGAAATTGCCCAACACAAAGCACAAACAAAGATAGTACAAATCAACATAGTAATCTGTTACCCATTTTCCCTCTTCCCAGTACCAAGCCCCTAAGCCAGGGCTTTCGTAATCTTTAAACTTAAGCTGTTATGTTGCACACAGGGAGCAAAGCAATTTGCAGTCATCAGGGAAGTAAAACTGTGGACAACATATTAATAAATTGGGCCTGCAGATGCAATGCCATTCCCATTTTGAAGAAACACATCAAAACTTATTTTACTTTTGACCATATTTACTGTGGAATTAACTATGTAAACTTGTCATGCTGTACCTGCGACCTGCCACCAGAGGTGACGCTGCACGACAAATGTGGATATAAGAATTTACATTGGAAAAAGGTGACAGGGAGACTTTACACAGTATCTGGATTAAATATCAGCCTTGGATCATTTCCTCCCAAGTCAGGAGGTTATGGGTCAATCTCACTCCAGAAATTGAACAGACATGTCCAATCCGGTAATGACGAAGTCCTGCATTGTAACAAAGTGATGTCTTTCACATGAAATATTAAGCCAAGGCCCTGCCTTCATGCGTGTATGTATGGAAAATATTCCATAGCTCTTCTTGAAGAAAGAGCTGAAGAGTATCTCTCCAGTGACTTAACCAAATTTTACATCTCAACCAACATCAAGGAGGATTCGTGGTCATTTACCTGACTGCTGTGGGACACTGGCTTCTAAATTTGCCTGCACTGCAACATATGGTACACTTCAAAAGCTCTTTGTAATGCCCTAACATAACAAAAGTGCTATGCAAATACAATTTCTTTCCTCACTTTTTTATTTTTCCACTCCGGAGAAAAGGTAGTTGTTTTCAAGGGGACAGTCTTTGGAACTAACTGAACCAAGGTCCAGAGTTTCCAAAATTTTCCTCCTTGAGCCAGCTTTTTAAACCATGTTAACACTTGCATTTGTGCAGCAATTGATCACAAAACTCAGAAAGACTGCAAGCATTTCACACAAGAATACATTTCTAAGCTTAGGGTAAGCAAGTTGCACAATCTCAAACATCAAGGAAATTGCCAACCATACATTTTTTATTGAGTTTTCTTTGGGTAGTTTTGAATAAAGGTTAAATGCTCATTCTTCTTTCAGCACCATTATTTGTATTCAGAAATCAGAATCATAGGAACAATGAAACAAGGTCGCAGTTTAATATCTCCCAAGAAAAGACAGCATCTCTGATAGTGAAGAACTCTCTCAGTACTGCACTGGAGGGTCAACTTAGAGCTCAAAGAGCCTCAACCCACAAGCTCCACATCAGAACTTCTAAAAAAACAAAGGAGGCTGAGAAAGTGCTTACCTCCGAAGATTCCCTCTTCCTCAAGCACAGTCTCACACATAAAGAACTGAAAAAAAGAGGAGAAAGATTTAAAAGGAACTAGAGGGGGAACTTTTTCACACAGAGGGTGGTGTGTGTATGGAAACAAGCTGGTACAATTACAACATTTAAAAGGTATGTGGATGGGTACATGAACAGGAAGGGCTTAGAGGGATATGGGCCAAATGCCAGCAAATGGGACTAGATCAGTTTACGACACCTGGTCATCACAGATGAGTCAGACCGAAGAGTCTGTTTCTGTGCTGCACAACTATGACTACAAGATTATACAGTACCAAGGAATATAGGAAATTGAACACAGGAACAGGAGTCAATAGGGTTTTGTGAAAGGGAAATCATATTTAATCAATTTCTTGCTGTTCTTTGAGGAAGTAATGTGCCATGGATAAATGGGAAATCAGTGATGTATTATACTCAGATGTCCAGAAGGCATTTGATATAATGCCAGAAAGGTCACTACACAAAATAGAAGCTCATGATGTAAAAGCTCATAAAAGCTTATGTTAGGGGGCCTAAAAACAAGTGACTTTTTATCTTTCAGTATTCCTTATCTCTACCCAAACTGATTCTGTAATTTGATTTTTCAAATTAATATCTCAGTACCGAACTAATGCTATTTTTAATTAATACCGTCAATCTGGTTCCTTTCCCTACCTTCCTGTCATGCAATTATGTAAAATCCTCTGCCAGACTGAAGTCCTTTGTGGTCTTTCAACAATACAGTGCCTATCAGATCATGCATGTTTAGTTCATACATGTTTACTTCCCTCTCCACATTAACACACACTCAGTTCTGACAGTCAACATACCAGCTTCACATTCCTAACAGTCATTATATTAGAAATATTCTCAGCATGTGGGTTTCAGTGGTAAGGCCAGTATTTATCACCAATCCCACATTCCAGGAGCTGACTGTCCGTAGCAAACATAAGTCACGGAATTCCAAACCTCACATCAAAAGTAAGAAGCTATCCTAAAGCCGACCACATAACCACAGCTGATTGTTGTAAACTCGCTAACGTCCTTCAAGGAAGGAAATCTGCTGTCCTTACCCGGTCTGGCCTACATAAGACTGCAGACCAACAGCAATGTGGTTGAATTGTAATCACCCTCCAGGTAATTAATGGATGGGCAGCGAATGCTGGCCCAGCTAGTAGCACTGATGTTCATTGATTGAATGTAAATAAAAATAGAAAGCGTGAACCAAACTAACTTTCTCTGGAGACAGCAAAGATCCATGGTGTACATATCTGGTGAAAGCACTATAGATTTACCAACCATGGCTTGTATCTTCAACTGGCAATGGTACAAAAATAAGAAAATAAATGGGGTTGGGGGATGGCTATACCAACAGGCCATACTACTGTCACTCAATGCAACTTGAAGCATCAACCCACAACAAAAAGCAGCAATTTGGGATCCATTGCTACAATAAAAATGTCCATGAGCAAGAATCTGGTTGGGTTTTTTCCCTTGGTCGTCAAAGGAGCTGAAATTAGCAATTCAGCATTGATATTTAACCTGGAGTTCCCTGGTCTGAACATTTCCCAATCATACACAGCTCTGCCACAGCCATGGAGTTGAGCTCTGTGCCTTCTGCTCACCTTTTGAGGAGTGAATATGATTTTGTATTTACGCAGCCTGCCACCAGCTTTGTCTGCATTGACGATTTCTGGAAGGAAACAGAGGAAAGAATCACACATGCAATCCATAACAGCATGATAGTGTCTAGATAGATAGGGACAAGCAAATCCTCACAACAATTGTAAAGGTATTACGGGGGGGTGGTGTTGAAGGAGGAGAAAGGCCTCATCGTCCCATTTGAAACAATAAAACAAGAAAATAAGTTATACCAAGGCCCAATGGGGCCTATCAGGAGGATCTAAAAAAAATTCAATGGTACTAACTGAAGTATGCAGGAGTATTCACCGGGCAAACTAGCCAGTATCCCTCGAACATAACCTAATAACAAATCATTTATCATCAATCTCATTCAAAAACTGGAGAAACTCAGCAGATCTGGCAGCATTTGTGGAGAGAAAGCAGAGTTAACATTTTGGGTCCAGTGACCCTTCTTCAGTCAGTTTCTCCAGCAATTTCCGTTTCAGATTTCCAGCATCCGCAGTTTCTTTTTTTAAAAAGTCATTATCTCATTTTCTTTGTTGAACCTTGACACGCAAAAAGTGGCTGTTGCATTTCCTACATAATAACATGGCAAAAGCAATTCATTGTGAAGCAATTTGGAACAAATTGCGCTTTCTGACAAATTTCAAACAAATTTGTGCTTTCTGAAGGCTGGGCTCTGAAGCGTTGTGTATAATTCTGGATCATGTGGGTCTTTATTTATTTCACCTTGAGAATCATTTTTGCAAATGCTGACTTGTTAGATAACAGCACTCCCAAGAAATATTAGCCTTTTAGAAGGGAGAGGTGACTTTGCAAGTATATTGCTCAGTATGTGTGGAGGCTAGGTGATGCAGTACACTCAGTTAGCAACTTGCTGCACCACCTTGTGGTCATGCTGTAAATTTGAAGATCTGACTCTTCCAAGACAACAACCAAACTCAAGTGACTAAGGAAATTACCAAGTGCTTCCCTGCAGATTGTGAAAGAAAACTGTGGGGATTAACACCATTACACACTTGCTAGTGGTCATGCACAAATCTGGACTCAAGATCAGTGCACTGTGTAAAATCACTTTCTCTCACACACATACTCAAGACAGTGGGTAAGCTCTCATACCTGCAACGTGCTTCACACTGGCTATCCGGGGTCGGACCAGGAAACACAGTCTGTGAAAGGAAACAGGTAATTAACATGAGTTAAACACTCCGGAATCATGATGTGGAGGTGCCGGTGTTGGACTGGGGTGGACAAGGTCATAAATTACATGACACCAGTTTATAGTCCAACAGGTTTATTTGAAAAAACAAACTTTCAGAGCCTCAAATAAATCTGTTGAGGACTATAGCCTGGTGTTGTGAGATTTCTGACTCAGGAACCATTCACTAATCATTAGAAACCAAACTTCACTATTACTCACATTACATCACAGTCCTTCCCACAGACTCCATTCCCCTGCCAATCGTTTGCAGATTCTGTCCCCCACTGGCAATCACCCACAGACTCCAATCCCCTGGCAACTGCCCAAAACCCATTGCCTCACTGTTGAACAAAGCTCATTAACTTTTCCTTTTCCACACATAATGACCTTCCTCCATACCCACTGAGTAATACTTACTGGTCACTCACTCCCTGAACCATTTTATTCTCCAATTTGTACAATTTCTCCACGTCATGTTGCTGTAAAACAAACAGAATTATGATTGTCAGTCTTTCTTGCTGCATATTTTATTCTATTAGCATTAAATTGCCAATAATAAACTAAATTCATATTGAAATAAAACTGGAAACACCGAGTAAATCCAGAAATAAAAAGAAGATTTAATATTTCAGATGGAGATGACTCACAAATTTGAACTAATTTGCTGAAATATAGGCTCCTCAGCCCTCTAACTAAATCCTGCATTTAGATACGTATCAGGTCACTCAAAATGCTTTATACAAAGGTGGAGAACGCAACACTGCTGTTCTTATAGACAGCAGTCAGCAGCAACACTGGTTCAATTCCAGCCTCATGCGACTGAGTGGAGTTTGCACATTTTCCTGGTGCTGCCTGGGTTTCCTCGCACTGTCAAAAAAGGTGCAGGTTAGGTGGATCAGCTGTGGGAAATGCATGTGGGGCTGGGTGGGTGTTCTTTGGAGGGTCAGTGCAGACTTGATGGGTCAAATGGCCTTTATCTGCACTGTAGGGTTTCTACGATACTGCATGTGCTCCCTCGGTGCCGCACTTTAGGGTGAAAGGTTTTGGCTGGTTGGAACAAAGTATTAGTGGTGGATAGGAAGAAAGGTTTTAAATTCAGCGTGGCTTGAAGAGAACCTGCAGACAGTTTCAAACTGAGCGAGCAACCAAAAATGGCATCCAATGGGTACGCAAAGCCTTAAGAAATTTTGGCAGCAGCTGCGAGGAATGACTGAGACCAAATTTCCAATGCAAGGAAGTTCCTGCTCAGCCGCGACTTGTTAACAGCTGGGCAGGCTTCCAGTAGGCTTCAATGAATGACCGCAAGTTTGAGTAATAGGATAGAGAGTTGAAACTGAGCTCGAGTCTTTGGATATTGGGTAAGGAAGGAGCCCTAAGGAATTGAGAGAGCTGGCAGTGTAGCAGCTACAGAGATTGCACTCTACAGATCTCCAACAAAGGCAATGAGGCAGTTAATAAGAGGATCCAGGGCAGTCTCACCAAGCTGATTCTTCAAAGCATCTTAATGTGATCATCTGTGCTCAGGATTTCAGGGAGGGGAGAAGAATATGCTGCCATGGCCTTGGTGACAAAGGATATATTGGTGCTGAATTAGCAGGATAGGTTGAGGGACAGTTTTAAAGCAAGTATTAACTGACCTTCAGGATGGAGACATTTGCAATGCGGTCCAGAGGGCTCATCAAATCAGCTTCAATAAACAAATCTTTCTTTCCTGGCAACTAGTAACACAGAAATTCCATTAAACAGAAGAAATGGAAATGAGGAATTGTCACAGCTCACTGTGTTTTTATTTTCTTAAAATACCACTTCTGTGTATTGAAAAATGCTCTAATCATAACAGAGTCAACTCCATTGGTCCTTCCATGGGTCATGTGGAAATGAACACGCGGCCCATCACTTTCTCCTGTCCCTCTTATCATTCATAGAGTCATAGAGATATACAGCATGGAAACAGATCCTTTGGTCCACCTCGTCCCTGCCAACTAGATATCCTATTTAAATTTAGCCCCATTTACCAGCATTTGGTCCATAATCCCTCTAAACCCTTCCTATTCATATACCATCCGGATGCTTTTAAAAAGTTGTAATTGTACCAGCTTCCACCACTTCCTCTGGCAGCTCATTCTATATACACACCACCCTCTGCATGAAAAAGTTGCCCCTTAGGTCACGTTTATATGTTTCCCCTCTCACCTTAAACTTATGCCCTCTAGTTTTGGACTCCCCAACCCTGCAGAAAAGACCTTGCCTATTTACCCTGGCCAAGCCCCTCATGGTTTTATCAACCTCTGTAAGGTCACCCCTCAGTCTCTAATGCTCTAGGGAAAATAGCCCCAGCCTATTCAGCCTCTCCCTATAGCTCAAACTCTCCAACCCAGGCAACATCCTTGTAAATCTTTTCTGAATCCTTTCAAGTTTCACAACATCCTTCCCATATGACGGAGACCAGAACCGCACACATTACTCCAAAAGTGGCCGAACCAATGTCCTGTACAGCCGCAACATGACTTCCCAACTCCTATACTCAATGTACTGACCAACAAAGGCAAGCATACCAAATACCTTCCTCACTATCTACTTGCGACTCCACTTTCAAGGAACTATGAACCTCCACTCCAAGGTCTCTTTATTCAGCAACACTCCCCAGGACCTTACCATTAAGTGTATAAGTCCTGCCCTGATTTGCCTTTCCAAAATGCAGCACCTCAGATTTATCTAAATTAAACTCCATCTGCCACTCCTTGACCCATTGACTCATCTGATTAAGATCCTATTGTACTCGGAGGTAACTTTCTCCCCTGTCAATTTTAGTATCATCTGCAAAGTTACGAACAAACCTTCTATGTTCACAGCCAAACCATTTATATAAGTGATGATAAGCAGTGGACCCAGCACTGATCCTTTTGGCACACCCCTGGTCACAGGCCTCCAGTCTGAAAAGCAACCGTCCACCACCCTCTGACTTTTACCTTTGAACCAGTTCTGTATCCAAACGGCTAGTTCTCCCTGTATTTCATGTGATCTAACCTTGCTAACCAGCTTACCATGAGGAACTTTATCAAACGCCTTACTGAAGTCCATATAGATCACGTCCACATTCACTCAAGAGCCCCCTACCCAAGGGTCAACTCTTCCCTTTTTCACATCCATCGGTCAACTCACCCCACTCTCCAAGGGTTATTTTCTGCCCCGTCATCATCACCAAAATAAAACAGGGGTCACTGGGTCACTCCGTCACTCCCCCCCCCAGTATTACTTTATAAACGGCCCCCGCTCAATTCCGGGGTCACCCTCTTCCTCCCTCCCAAGCGGCCTGAGGGGGTCACACCCTCCTTCCCCTCTAGCCGTGTCATTAATCACCCACCCCGGCGTGTCACACCCTCCCCTCCCCGGAAGATGTCAGCCTTTCTCCCACCTGCTCCAGTAAGTAGATGAGTTGATCCCTGGCGAATCTTTTCAAAATGTCGAAATCCGGCAGCTCTGGAGCGTCCCAGCGGCCCGCCATCTTGTCCCGAGGAACCGCTTCCGGGGTCACGGCTGGAACTTCCGGCGTCGCGTCTCCCAGCAACCGGCGTGCAGGCTTCCCCGGGCACAGTAGGCCTCACATCAGCCTGGAGTCACTCTTTACAGCCAGACCCGGGGAAGTGGGGGGCAGTTGTTCTGCTTCTGCTTAAACTGGGGCCCGCTCCTGGAGTCCAAACCTCACCTCAGCTGGAGCCTGCACTCAGATACTTTCTGATAATAGTGAGCACCACACTCGAGGTGTTATGTTTTCTGTAGCTCAGTGTCACTACAGTCAGTTTGTAGCACTCCTTACCATGACCACAGGCAGGGAGTAACTGGTCACCATTGCTGGGTTTACACAGTAAGCCAACTGGGGAGATAGAACTCACAGCTGAACACAAACCACAACTCCATTCGCTCTACATCAATCTTTCCATCCCAGTTCCTAACATTTCCTCAATGTTGGTAACTCTCCATTACGACCAAGTTAAGGAGACTCGCCGATGTGTCCTGCTTCCAACCAAGCAGGTTACGGTTCATCAGTTTGTCCTCTTCATGAAGTTTTACACTACTGGGTGTTACAAATTTCTAAAAGCATCAGTTAATTGTTTGAGGAAAAGGTTTGACATGTCTGCATGAGAAAAACAACATTCTTTTTCAATTACTTCCCTTGAAGAGATGATAGTCGTGGTATGGGCTAGCCTTGAATTGAGTTACATTTATTGTTACATGGGCACAGTGAAGTTTACAAGTCTGAACTTAATGGTACTATCTTAAGTACAAAAGTACTTAGGTACAAAGCAGAAAAACAAAGTAAAAAAGTTAAACATTACAATCTGCAGTTCCTACTATCTCCATTACAATCCTTCTTACTAAAAAGTGGAAAAACAAAGAAACACAGTTTGCAGTTCAACACCACAGTCTATAAGTACGTGGCTATGCTGGGCTTGCACTCCTCAAGGGCTCGACCTTGCCCTGCACTGCCTGCTCTTGCCACCTTGCAGCCTGTTCCTGCTCCTGCCGGCTGCCCACTCCCACTCTTAGAGTCACAGAGTCACACAGTATGGAAACAGACCCTTTAGTCCAACCAGTCCATGCCGAACATAATCTCAAACTACGCTGGTCCCACCTGTCTGCTCCAGGCTCATATACCCCCAAACCTTTCCTATTCATGGACTTGTCCAAATGTATTTTATTAGTGAAATATAACACCTGTACCAAAACTATAATAAATCTTTAACTAAGCCTGCAAACCCAGGAGCAGCTGCAAGATCCTCACTGCACTTCCACCACCCTTGCAGCTATCGATGTGCATGTACTAAATGAGGAATGGTCCGATCTTATCGAAAAATGGCCCTGACACTGTACAGGAACATATGGAGGTGAAGTACAGGAAAACTGTCTCACATTGCAAATTGCTACCAGGAACCATGGGTGCCTGAGTAAATGAAAATAATGGACTCCTTGAACAAACAGTCCTTAATTTAAGCACTATCCTTAGAATTATAAAATCCCTACAGTGTGGAAGCAGACCATTTGGCCCAGAGTCCATGCTGAGCCAGATCACCCCCTACCCTATCCATGTAACCCTGCATTTCCTGTAGCTAACCCACCTAGTTTGCACATCCTTGGACACAATGGGCAATTTAGCCCAACCAGTCCACCTAATCTGCGCATCTTTGAACTGTGGGAGGAAACCCACACAGACAGTTGCTGAGGGTAGAATCGAACCCAGGTCCCTGGGTGCTGTGAGGCTGGAGTGCTAACCACTGAGCCACCGCGCTGCCCCATGGTAAGGAGAAGATACCCTTGCTGAGGAAGATACGTAAACATTTGGAGATTCTGTAGGAGCCAGGCAGACATTCCAGAACATTAGCAACCAATTAGACTTGCTGTTAATTCAACCTGGTGAACCCGTCAATGGCAGCTCAGATTTTCATCACTCACCTCCACAGAACTGTGCAAGCCAATGCCATAATGGGTAGGGTAGGTCTGGCTGGAGTGGTTTTCAGGAGGCTTACCAGCTCTCTGTATCAGTTGGCTGGGCCTTTCTAATCTCCTGAGGTACTTGTGTGTTGGTTGAGGGTCTCCTTGGATCTATAAATGGGTGCCTAAGTTCTCTGAATTTATACAGAGCACAGTTTCTGTACTGAATTAGTGTGCTGTCATCTCTGGCAAACTGAAATTCTTCTTGTGCGGATTCCTTAATAGTTCAGGGTGAAGACTCAAACATGGAGTTGGGTTTGCACGTGTTGGATGAAAAGAATTGAGAAACACCCTCCCATATAAAATGTACCTGCTATCAAGATCTTTATGGATGAAAATTACAAGGTACATTTTAAAACATGTCAAAAATCAATCATTTAGAATCAAAATAAAGATGTGATGATAGAAGAATAGTAACCCACAGAACAAAAATGTTTTATTTTAAAGACAAGGAATTCACAGCACAAGGTAAATGAGCAGCATTGATAGATTCATTCAATCTGATCATAAAGGACATTCTTGAATATTTAAATTTATAGATTATTACCTTGTCATTTAAAACTTCATTCCACAACGATAGACCTAATGGTAAAGTACTGCGCGATCTTCTATCTTAAAATGTAATCTATTTCAAACAGAACCTCATTATCCAATAAGAATATTTCTTTCTTTGAAAAGTGCATCCAGGCTCTTTTCAAGGATCTGATTCGTTCCTCGAAGTCCAGCAACCACTTGGGAAGCCCAGATGAAATATTGTTCAACGCGTTTCTCTGTCCATCCTGAAAAGGGATTCAGCAGAGCAGAAGTCAGGCCCATTCCCTCCAAAGGTACCCAAACCCTCTGTTCTTTCCCATTCTATTACTCGGCCCAGCCCCTGGGGCTAATCTTGGTTCTTCAAATAATATCATTCAACATTCACTTTAGCCACCGTGGGGTTTGGTTAGCTCAGTTGGTTAGAGACCATGAATGAGTTGGCCAAATGGCCTGTTTCCATGCTGTAAACGTCTATAACTCTATGACCCAGAGTGTGGTGCAGAATGGTGCCAACTGCACAGGTTGAATTCCCTGGAGGCTGTGGTAGTTCATGGAGGCCTAAGCCCTTGCCTTGATGCTATATAACCGTTTTTCTCTCTCTAACAGAGCATAATGCCAATGGCTCCTCATAGATTTAGCTAATTACCATTATCTACCTACCATAATAGATAGGCAGGGCTCTGAGTGCATTTTCCTAAGGCTCACAGCTCTGATAGTGCAGCATTCCTCCACTTCTGCACTGCATTGCCAGTCTAGTTTGTATGCTCAAGTGGGGTTTACCCAACATGCAGGGAGGGACTGGGAACCCAGGCTGTGCTTTCCTGTAGAGATGGTTAAAGAATAATTGCTAGGAATCAGGGAACACAATAACAATTAGACATGCGCTGGGAACCTGATAGGAGAAAAACAAAAAGGACTGCATTGCTGACCTGCTGGAGTGCAGCGTTTGAGATCCCTCAGGTTGTACAGTTTATCTGCCAGTTTCACTAGTTTAGCTTCATAGCTGCAGTGAGGGGCATGTTGGATCTGTAACTCCTTCCGTTTCTCCTTTGATAGAGACTTATCATCTGTCACTTCAGCAACAATACTCCTCACCTTCTCTCCAAACCTCTCCTCAATCTCCATAAATGTAGTGTCTGTATCTTCAACAGTGTCGTGCAGAAGTGCGGCCTTGCCAAAATGTAAGAAACAGAAAGATAAATTTCAATTGTTCCAAACATCACAGTTCAATTGTTGTTTTGGCCCCAATGAGCCATGTACTAACATACCCAGCTCTGAATTTTCACACTTCACCTAGGACTGGAGTACACAATCTAAGGTGAGTGAGTGTAGCACGGTCAGCGCTGATGTCTTTCATAACGATGTATCACAAAATTGTTACAGATTGAAAGGGGGCCATTTGGCCCATCGTGTCTGCACTGGCTCTCCGAATGAACAGCTCACTTCATGCCATTCCCCTACCACTTGCCCATCATTGTGCCCAACCTTGTGTTTCAGAGAACCATTTAATTCCTTTTCAAATGCCCTGACTGAACCTTGTGAAAGGAACATTTTTAGAATGCTGTGCTGGAATGGTGAGTAGGAGTAAGATGAAATGACATTGAGCTGAAATGTTAACCATTTCTCTCTTCACCGATGCTGCCAGACCTGCTGAGATTCTCCAGTTTATCTGTGTTTATCTCAGATCTCTAGCATTTGGAGTATTTTACTTTGTGCAAAGTGGGAGGCGATATGCGCAGATCATAAACACAGGCAGACTGGTTATGCTGAACGGCATGGTTTTGTGCTATAAACCCAATGCCGATACATTTAATACAGTGCAATGATGCTCTGTTTAAATTATGTTAAAGATCAATGTCATTATTTTAAGACAAGCAAGGATTTAATTAATGATCTTTTTTATGCGGAATCTGTAAAGTCCCCATTGTCCCAGACCATAATTTCAGAGAGATGACTGTACTGAGTTTAACCTGAGGGTCACCACGCCTCAGACAAGGGGTGAGATTGAGAAGATCTCACCTTCATGGTGACCTCAGGCAGTGTGGGAACAGGGTGGCATCACAAATCAGCCATCCAATCAACTGAGCTAACCGATGCCGCTCCCCTTCCCCATTTACCTGTAAGACAACCACATCTGTAATTCCAGCTTCATGGGCCAAAATTCGGGCAACACCTTTAAACAAACAGATAAACAATAAATCCCACTAAGCAATATCCTTATATCAAGCAACATTAAAAGAATGGAAGGTGATCTAATGAGGTGTATAGATATTAAAAGGGAAGCAACAACGTAGATATAGAGAGGATGGGCCAAATGCTGGCAAATGGGACTAGATTAATTTAGGATATCTGGTCAGCATGGACAAGTCGGACCAAAGGGTCTGTTTCCAACTCTATGAGTCTAGAAATGAGAGGTCATAGTTTCAGGTTAAGAGGTGCCAGATTTAAAACAGGGATAAGATAAGGAGGAATTACTTCTCTCAGAGGGTCAGGAGTCAAAGGACATTCAGCAGGCCACTGAATAAATTTAAGGAGGAG